AGCTAGACGAATTTGAGTTGACTGTGTTTTCATTTATAGTATTCGGAATTTTCCGAAGAAACTCGAAGCTTCAAAGAGAAATAACACGAGTTTCAGAACGCATTCAAGAACGCGTTCCGCACGCGTTCAGGAAGGTGTTCCGAACGTGTCCAGGAAGGTGTTCCGAACGCGTCCAGGAAGGTGTTCCGAACGCGTTCTCGAAGGTGTTCCGAACGCGTTCTCGAAGGTGTTCCGAACGCGTCTTGGAACGCGTTCCGAACGCGTTCGCAGCATTAGGTTACTTCTGAGCAGTACTGTATAGCCCATGTACATCATAGTACAAACCATAGAAATAAAATTAAAACAATATATTGCCATTTCAAATGCTTTTTCATTAATGTACAATAACTAGGGAATTTTATGTAAAGTGCAATTCTACATTTTCTTCGATTGACTTGAATATGTTTTTGGCTAACATTTATTTGATGTAGCTACAACAAATCCGCTAAGTTTCAATGGACATAGTCACATAGCATCTCCCTATTTGAAATAAGCCATAAGGCATTATATTTGGTATTTTAATATCTTAATTATTACAGAAATGATTGCACAAGTCATGAGTTCTGACAAATGTTGATCTATATTTTCAACATTAACCCCATTAAGCACCAGCGTTCTCCTCTCGAGACAGAGTAAAATAATAAATTAGGGTACAATGTGACTCAATGTGTTAACAACACACATGGGCAGATAGGCCAGTTAACCCATTAAGTACCGGTGCTCTCCCCTTAATGAGTGAAATTGTCTTGCGTTAGAAAGAGTAAAATAATAAATTAGGGCGCAATGCGACTCAATGGGTTCACTAGACACATGGGCAGATAGGCCAGTTAACACATTAAGCGCCAGCGCTCTGCCCTTAATGAGTAAAATTGTCCTGCGATAGGCAGAGTAAAATAATAAATTAGGCCGCATTAGGGAACAATGCGATTCAATGGGTTAACTGTAAACATGGGCAGATAGGCTAGTTAACACATTAACCGCCAGTGCTCTCCCCTTGATGAGTAAAATTGCCTAGCGTTAGATAACCAGAGTAAAATAATAAATACTTAGTGCACATCAGGGCACAATGCGACTCATTGGGTTATTAACATCAACAATGTTTCAAATGTCAAATCTGCCATGCTCAATATAATCATAGATTCGACTATTAATTTGACATGTAAGTCAGATGTCCTGTATACAACAACATCATCAATATACAGTATACTATTAATTAATTAATCAATCAGCCACAAAATTGTCAATCGTGTATTATTCTCGGCCTAATTTAAGCTAAACCTATTAATCCTAGTTGGTGTTTAGTTTGGCTTTTGCTGCTACTGAAACGACTTTTATATAATTATGTGATTACAGCTCGGAATATTATGCGGTAGTCATTTGAAATCACGGGCCCCCCACCCCCGGGAAATAGCGGGGAATTTAACACAACCAAGTGTTAAAAATCATTAAATTCCCCGCCCCTGGGGCAAACTGGTCTGTTAAAACCCCCGTACGGCCGGGCTTTAGTATACCTAAACAAGACAAATTCCGCATAATGCATGCATTTGAATTACCTGTCTTCCGCAACTTCCAGATTGAATTTCCGTCAAGTATTGTATTGACAATGTCTGGGGTCATGCATATCAAAATATCGATATGAAAATGTAAATAAATATGCAAATATAAAAAGTAAACAATGCCAATTATATCCAAACAATGGAAAAGGCGATGCCTGACACTTATTGAATATTAACAGCAGCGGATGGCTGAGGATTAAGTATAAAATATAAAGTTTCAAACGCACGTACCTGTCGAGTAAGTTTTTCGCATAGATATAGGAAATCTAGATTGCTAACGCATACCATGGATAATAAAATAAATGGATATGAAACTAGCTGACGTGACCTAATGTTTTTACTGGGATTGATGGCGTGGTTGGATGCCTCAACCTAGTTGAAAATCAAATTCTCAAAAACGGCATGTTTAGCAATAATACAGCTAAACATTTTAGTCAAAGAGCAAATAAATGTAACCACGCCATTCTACGATGAAAACTCTAAGTATTCCCAGTCAATTCTAGCAAATATTTCAAGCACTAAACAGTGAAAAATACATCGCAAATTTCGTTAAAATTTGTGACGCCAATTTCGTAGCTACAAATGTAAAAAAATACAAAACAAAGACGAAGAACATTTACCTTGAATACTTTGTCGTGGCTTAGGCATGTTTTTAAAACAATTAGACCAGTTTACGCTTCAAGATCACCCTTTTAAAGTGGAAAATATAGCAAAACAACAAATATGCCGAGAACTTTGGTAATATTCGCAATACGCGTGACGTCACGTTTTTCAACAAGGATGCAGTCAATGACGTCAGAAGTTTCATATCCATTTATTTTATTATCCATGCGCATACCTAGCGCAGGCGGGGCCTACATGATAAATCCAAGATGGCGGTACAACAGGGCAAAAAGACTATAGATTCTATTACGAAAATCAGGATTCTTTCATTTTTTGCCGTCGCATTGTTTTGAAACTTATTCGGTCAAATTTTATGGTAAAGAGAAACTTACGCGAAGATTTTGAGCATATATATGATTGAATTGAATGAAAAATCGCAACATTATCCAGCGATAAAAGTTCGTGTATAGTACTGATATAGTACTATATATGTAACTTGTACAGTTTTGCTTTAATTTTTGCTTACTATTTGCATAAAAAGCAAATTATAACAGACCATAGATGATAGACCCACATTCAGTGCTCTCATCAGTTTACTTCTCTAACAAGCA